TATAAAATATGTGTGTATATCATTATATATGTGTGTGTGTGCATGCCTCATTTTATTTTTTTATTTTTTTATTTTATTTTTTCATCCCTCATTTTAAAAGGAGTTTTAGATTTATAATAACATTGAGCAGAAAGTAGAGAGAGTTCTGGTATACACCTGCCCCAACATATGCAGGATTTTTTTTACTAGCAGTAATTCACCTGGAGGGAGAAATCTTCCTTTGGATTATCCTTATCCAAACAAGGTTCAGAAGGCTGAATTATGGTTTTGTGAGATTAGAGCTCATCATAATCACTGAGAGGGAGTTGGGAGAAGATAAGCCTCAGAAAATGCTACCAAAAGCTGCAGCCTGGATGCTCAGCCTAGATTCTTCTGTTGGCCTGACATAGTTCAGACAGAGAAATCCAATATTATAGTCACTTTATTGTCACAGCCGGTGCTGCTTATGGGCAGCCCAGGAAGTGGGTTTAGAATGCCCTGTGCCCAGGAGTCCTGGCTAGCTTCCCACTGATAATGGACATTAAGCTTGTTTAGGAATTCTAAGTCCCAGCACAAACTATTGTGTGAGGACAAACTATGATGGATTTCAAGGATTTGGCTCCTTTTGTTGGAAAAAACTGCCTGCTAGGAAGTCAAGATTATGATGAAAAATAACCTTGTCTAACTTTTGGGCTGCTTTCTGAAACCTATATATGGAGTTGTCTATAATAAAATTATGAAATGGACAGTCCTGGCAAAATTTAATAATGTACTGGAGTGATTTTCAAATGGTCTCAATTTGGGTAATAAATGTCATGGTAATCTTTATACTTACACACATAGAGCCGAACCCTGAAAATGCTCATGAAACACACAAACATGCATAAAGCTGGTGGAAAGGTGTTACAGCTAGGCGTGCATGCCTATAATGCCAGTACTCAGTAAGGAGGCTGAGGCAGGATGATCACAAGTTCAAGTAGTGATTTCAAGGCCAGCCTGGACTACTTAGCAATACCCTCCTCAAGAAAAAAACATTAAAAAAGTGTTCCAGTCTTTTAATTAGATACGTTCAGTGTCAGGTGGTTGGCTAAAGGTGACTTCTTAGTCAACATGCTTTCCCCTTCTTGATGTCATCCTTAATTACAGCAATAAAAATTGAATTCTTCATGCCATTAATTCCAAAGGAGTCAATAAAACTTGTTCATTAAATAAGTACCCTTTCCTGTATAAATCCATGTCATTAATCTATTTTCAAATTGTTTACATCCTTTTAGAGACCCTTAGATTGTTTTACCGTATACTCAAGTTAACAAGACAGTAAATATTTTTACTGAGCCAGACATATAGTACTTGTGAGACAGAAGCATGTAGCAAAATTCCATCCCTTCATAGGCACCAATACAGGACAAAGGGGAGATAGAGCTCAAAGGACCAAGCAGGAAGCAATAGAGTGCAACCAATGTCAAAGCCTTGTGCAGAAGAGGGACCAATGTCTAATTCAGAGCTTTTTTTTTTTTTTTTGGTACCAGGGATTGAACTCAGGACCCTGAGCTTGCGAAGCAGGCGGCGGAACCACTGAGCTAAATCCCCGGCCTCAGAGCATTTTAAAAGACAAATAGAAGCCAGTGAGAAGTGGACTTAAAATGCTGGCAAGGAGAGGCACGGGTCCAAGAACAAAATGACAAAGAAGAACAGATCTTTTTCCTTGGAAAAGTGCAGGTTGTGGGCCTACTACAGGCCTAAGAACAACTCTTCCTCTAAGATGGGAAGGAAGGAACTATATAAAGTGTAAGAGTGTTTATACCTGTTAGAATGGCTACTGTCAGACAAAAAAAAAAATAAAATGACAAAGGCTGACAGAGATGTAGTGAAAGGGGAGCTCTCTGACACCACCAGTGGGAATGTAAATTAGTATAGATACCTTGGAAAACAGTGCCAGGTGTGATGTCATCACGGCACCCAGGAGACTGAGGCAGAGGGCCCTCAAAGCTAGCCCGAACTACATAGAGAGACCCTATCTCAACAAACAAACAAACACCTGAAAACGGAACAGCCACATGATCCAGCAATCCTACCACTGGATCTCTATACAAAGGAAATAAAATCATTATGTCCAAGGGTTACAGATACTCATCTTTATTGTAGCATTTTCACAGTAGCCAAGAAAAGGCTTGAACTGAGATGTTCATTGGCAAATGAATGGATAAAAAAACTGGTCTGTCTGTCTGTCTGTCTGTCTGTCTATATCATTTGTAGCAACACGAGTGGAATAAGAGGACATTATGTTATGGAATGAGAGGACCCTATATTAAGTGAAATAAAGTAGGCACAGGAAGACAAATGCCACATATTCTCACTTATCCATGAAAGCTAAGAAAAAAGATGATCATATAGAAGTGGAGAGTAGAGTAAAGGTCCCTAGAGGATAGTAAGGGGAGAGGAGGAGGACAGAGGGAGAGTGGGCAGTGGGTCCCAAGATGCAGTTATTGGTGGCAATAGTTCTAATGCTCAGTAGCGCAGTAGGGTCACTATAACCTAAAGCTATCAATTATACATTTCAAAATAGCAAGAGAAGAGCCTGAAGGTTTTCAACACATAGAAGTGATAATATTTGAGGATCTGGAAATGCTAAAGATCCTGATTAGATCATTATACATTGCCTGCATATATCAGATGATAAAACCGCACTCCATAAATAGGTACAAAAGTTGTATATCAATGAAAAGACAGCGGAGAAGGCCAGGGATTTAGTTCAGTGGTTCTCGCCTGTGCAAGCCTGAGGCTCTGTGCCTGCCTGGCAAGCACAAGGCTCCAAATTCGATCCCCGGTGC